AATACATCTACATCCAACTAATGGTGGACATGGACACAGAGAACACAGTATGTTCTCCTCTCAGAAGAGATGAAGTAGCTACAGTATACCAGGGATAGGGAAGTACTGACAATATCTAGGTATACAAGGCTACCCCAATTCTGATAGTAAAGATAAACTGACTACTGGTGGGTCAAAACTTATCTTCCCCATGACAAGGGAATAAGGCTACTGAGCTGTCCACTCACCTGTCTGGGAATAACTGGCACCACCTCCATCCTCTGGGGAAAAATAATTCTCATTCATTCCAGGCAAGGAAGGAGTTACAGGAATAGGTGACTCATCCACATCATCATAACCATTTCCTGTGGCATCGACATGCTGTCCTGGAAGCTCTAAAACAAATAAGTACTTAAGTGAAATAGCGAAGTATGAGTTGGACTAAGAGACGTCCTAAGTCCCTTCTAATGCAGAGATTCTAATGGCTGATATATATATGTATGTATGTATATATAATATTCCAAGGTTGCTTCAAGGGCATATATTTGACCTCAATGTGCTTAAAAATCCTTTATATCTTCTAACTATTCCAATATATCAAGGTCAGTCATATTTTTCTAACATGGCTTCTCATACCATAAAGCACTGACAGAATCTATTATGCTACATGAGTTTCAGGTACTATTTTCCAGCATATGGTTCAGAGTTGTAACACATAATATGCACATATCAGTGACTAGGAAAGATGAATCTGGACCAAGAGAACCCAGGACATCCACGTGCCCTCTGAAGCTGTGGGAGACACAGAGCTGGTAGAGAGGAGGAAGCCTGGGGACATCTATCACTCAGAGACAAGATATCCCACCAGTCCCAATCACGGGAGGCGTGGGTTTCAATCTCCTCTAGTGCTCAGTTGACCTCGGGATCTAATCTCCACGAACTGTCCATCTTTACTCTATGGAGATGATCCAGGGAGGACATTCTCCTTTATCAGTTTCTTTATAAATAAGAGTTTCTGGTGGTTGGTAAGTACAGGTGCCAATCACTCCATATATTCCAGGGCTTATCAATATCAATATTTTTGTCTCAACATACACCAAATGCATAAAGTGATCCAAATGTCATACTATCTCTGGTTCCAACCATAGTTCTCAATGCCAGCATTCTCTGTAGCCGTAGAATTTTGAGTTTGACACTTCCAGTTATTTAGAAAAACATGGCCTCTGAATCGTTAATATTACATTAGATACATGTCTGTAACTAAGTAGAAGTAGCAGTAGGTACAGGGAACTGACTCTGATCTTTCCATTTCTGAGGTCACAGAATGGGCAAGAGAGGAAACAAAATTGTTGTGAACTGGAGAGAAGAGATCCTTCCCGTCCTAATCACAGGAGGCATTTCCTCAGGCAAGATTCCTCCTCCTTGTTCCCTCCATCTGAGGGAAGACCTATGTCTACTACCTGGGGCAGACTCAGGGTCTCCATTCTCCTCATCGTCCCCTGTGTAATACGGCAGCTTAGTCGCTGAGTCATCAGACAGGTTATCTGGTAAGGAGAAAAACATCACAGACCAACAGAAACCTTCCCCATAGTAGGAGGCCCAGGGTTATAGCTCAGAAGCAATACTGAGGCTTCAGACTTGCAGAGAGAGAGCTTGGAGCTCTCTGTGAGGTTGGGTTGGTGGCTGAGTCTCCGCTTGCTGAAGACAACACACAGCCAGGTCCTGAAGAGAGGGGAGGGCATGGGACATACCTGGGTTATCCAACAGGTCCACCTTTTCTGATTTTACGAGGTCATCAATCTCCTGGTACAAGGCTTCATCAAATGCATCTTTAAAAGCCGATAAGGCTGGGAAGAGGCATGAGTTAGAGACCACCCCTGGAGATGTTTCCTTTACCAACAGACAAAGCGTTCAGTGCTTTCCAATGGAGAAAACCCTCTGGGCTTCTAGTGCCCCTTTCTCTGCCTTCAGGACAGAACTATGTTTCCTGACCCTGATCTTGATTCCACACTCAATTTGCACTGACACTGTTCACACAGGAAACCATAATTCTTGAGAGATTTTACATTCAACCCAGGTCCAAGGATTCATTCTTTCAAATCTTGACATCTATTGTAGAAAAGGTAGAATTTTGCCAGGTAATGAGGATGGAGGCCAAAGTTTGCGCACTTTTCTTGGTGTCACAGCTGGCTCAATACCCTTCCCACTACTTTCCAGATCACTTAGCCTACCTAAGGCCTACCTTGGTGCTCTGCTCTCCCTCGGTGTAGCTGAATCCCCAGGATGATGAGGACCAGGAAGAGAAGGGCCGCCAGTATGACACAGAGGATTCCAGGAAGGGAGAAGATGCCAGGGATGGGAGATGAAGCTGTACTGGTTCCTGAGGTGAGGAAAGGGCCATGAGATTTTAGAGAGGATGGTAAGTCCAGAAGAATCTCTCCTTCCTTATCCCAGTCATTCTCTGAGTTCAAGACCATGAAGTTTGGATTCAGATACAGTGGGTCTGCCTGAACCCCAGGATATGATTGACCCAGGTCCTGCCCTGAGCTGTGTTATTTGTCCTCTGAATCTGGTTATAAGGGATTTTTATGAAATGAAAACTGACAAAGCTCTGGAGAGTTACAGCTGCCACTACTTAATAGGACTATAAATATGGGATCATTAGGCCTTTCTATGCTGACATGGATAATATTGCCAGAAATATGTAGATTCCGTAATGCAAGTCCCTGAAAATATGGGAGTCTCCTCTGTCACATGGCTCAGGGCAGCAGAATCACTTACTTCCACGAGTTGGGGGAACTGTTGTCCTGTCACCTGGAAAGAACAGAAAAAGAATTAATCACTGTACTGAATTGGCCTGAAAAAGCCACAGTGTTACTCCTACAATCACTGGCATATTGATCTCTTCCAGATCCCAGGAGATCAGGCAATAGCCTCTCCTGGAGCCAGAGCATTTCAGGAAGTGCTTCTGGATTCAAACACACGTGTTCTTCAGTCCTAGCCCCAAAACCAGTCCTCCACTCACCAGAGCACCTCACCCCAGCATCCTCCTCGTGCTTGCAGTCATTCTGCCCCCAGGGCTCCGCAGCACAGGCCCATAGGGAGGGCTCCCTGCCCCTGCACTGCACCTCATCCAGCCAGATGCTCCCGTTCCCAGGGCCAAACGCTGCACTTCCCAGGGCTTCCAGGGCATGGCCACAGCCCAGCTGCTGACACACCACCTCGGCCTCTGCCAGGCTCCAGGAGTCATCACACACTGTGCCCCAGGAGCCGCTGTGCCAAACCTCCACGCGCCCTGAGCACTGGGTGCCTCCTCCCCGGAGTCGGAGCTTCTCTTTGTCTGCAAGGACAGCAGCCCCTCCTGTTACTGCCCGTGGTGGGAAGGCAGGAGCCCCTGGGAGCCACAGGGGCAGTGGGAGAGGCTGACGTACCTGTGCAGGGGGCAGCAGTTGGACAGCCCTTGGATCTAATTCCTGCAGAAACAAACAATGGGGAAGCACTGGATCAGGGAGAGCTGGGGGTGCTCTCATCCCTGAACAAGATTATTCAGCGTCCTTGGCTGATTCCAAAGGATGAGTCAAAACACAGACTTCATAGTCTACTGGGCTGAGATGTTCCCTGGATCTTATTACCAGCTGAAATGACTTTATCTGTTCACTTGTTTATCACCTTCCACACCCCATAACAAATATAAACACAGACACCTACACACACACACACAAACACACACCCCTAAATGAAAGCTCCCCTAGAATAAGCACCTTGCATGTCTTATTCACCTTGTGTTTCTGCTGTTAGGACAGTGCCTTTCACTTTTATGCATTCATTCAACAAGTATATATCGAGAAGCTTCTCTAAGTATCATGATAGGGGCTTAATAAATATTTATTGAATAAATAAATAGAGGAATAAAATCGAGTGACATGTAAATCCTTTAAATTCATGCTAGTCAGTAAAGTAGGAAAGCAAATATAAATTAATGGTAATGGTCTGTGATAATAAGTAGTGCATATTAAAAATAATTTGTCCATAAGCATATAATTAATTTATATTCAAATTCCATTTATGTAATTTTCAGTGGGAAACTATTAATCAGATTCTAAGCTACTCTTATCTGTTATTCAGTATGACAGGTGGGCAAGTGAAGATTACTGTAGTAAAACGAATCTCTTAAAAAAGGGAATATACAGGATAGAATAAGTAGGATTCAGAGAAGATAGGTGGACACATATACCAAGTAAGACAGAAATGTCTGCAATAGAGACATAAATATACTGAGAAAATTCTGCAATGAAGCAGAAATGACAAAGACTGAAAAATACACAAAAGAATTAAAACAGAAATATATATAAGTTTGAAACAACACAAGAAAACTGAAGTGTACATGGTAACATGTCATAAAACATCAGAATTTGTATATTATTTCTATATCATTCTATCAAACTCCTGCTCTATGCAGAGAACTTCTGCACAAATGATGGCAGGACCTCTGTGAGGCGGCCGCTCAATTTCAGATTAGAGAATTCATCACTTTTCAATGTCTACTTGTAGGAAAAATGTCATCAGTATAAGGTCTAATCGTGTAATACCTCTTTGGCCTTCATATGGAAAAGACAAAAAGATGAAGAAAGAGAGACAAGGAAAAGAATGAACCTCTGCTTTTGAAATATCTACCAGCACATAATCCCAGCTGTGGACTTCAGGCAACTCCTAGCATATCACTCAAGGTATACCTGAATGGGGTGTGTGTGTTTGTGCGTGGGGAGGGGTGTGAGAGAGAGAGAGAGAGAAGTGTTGAAATAAGTAAAGTGCTATGTTATAGGAATGGGTTAATAGACTTAAAAAAGGGATAACCACAAGCCAGAAACTTACAAGTGAGTCAACAAAAACTAAATAAAATCTGTGATAATACAAAGGAAAATTACCAAAGCACAAAAAGAAGAAGAAAGGAACAAAGAGGAAATACCAAATCAACTACAAAAATAAGTTCAA